TTGGAATTCTACCTGGGTAGCGAAAAGATCGGGGGAAATCCCATGGCCCCGACCGGGTCCCGACAGGGCGGCCAGATCGGGCAAAGTGCCATGGCCCCGGTCGGTTTTAGTGTTTCAACCAGGCCGGGGCCAGGTCGGGTTGCCAGATCGGGGCCCGGTTTGTCCCGATCTGGCCCCGACCTGGCCCCGGTCAAAATTTCTGCACGGGATTATTTCTACCCAGTAAAAAAAGAAGTATTGAGTGGAGCGTTTAGGAATTGAGTGAAGCTCTGAGCCAATACGGATTCGAGTAAAAACCGTATTGGGACGTTTGACTCAATCTTTTTTTCATCCGCCGAATACTGTCTTATTTTAGCATTAAAATTAAAATCACATGACCAGAGTACACATTATAAATTGAAAGCACAATTGTCCTGGAATGTAAAAATGCCGATTTCGATAAGAAACAGTGAATATTTGTTAAAAATTGGTAAAAGCAAAGTTTGACAAGCGCGACTGAATTTACCATGTGAATAAATGAATTGGTAAGTTTAAATGGACGAAAAGAAATCTACTGTTACCGACAGAAAGTTCCTAGAGAATTGTTAAACAATGAAATTTCATTGTTTTGTTGAATTTACCACAATTCTCTAGGAACTTTCTGTCGGTAACAGTAGATTTCTTTCAGTCCATTTAAACTTACCAATTCATTTATTCACATGGTAAATTCAGTCGCGCTTATCAAACTTTGCTTTTACCAATTTTTAACAAATATTCACTGCTTCTTATCGAAATCGGCATTTTTACATTCCAGGACAATTGTGCTTTCAATTTATAATGTGTACTCTGATCTTGTGATTTTAATTTTAATGCTAAAATAAGACCGTATTCGGCGGATGAAAAAAAGATTGAGTCAGACGTCCCAATACGGTTTTTACTCGAATCCGTATTGGCTCAGAGCTTCACTCAATTCCTAAACGCTCCACTCAATACTTCTTTTTTTACTGGGTAATACAAAAAATATTGACAACCATTAAAAACAAAACTGTCAATTTAAATATCTGCTCTCTAAATCTGAATTAGTAAAATTCTACTAATTCTTAGTAGAATATTACTAATTGAAATGGGGAAAAGTCGTCTACCTAGAATTAGTAGAAAACTACTAATTTAAATAGTCATTACGTCATTACTAATTGAATTAGTAAAAGGATAAAAAGGTGCAGGTTTGCGCATGCGCATATTTAGACGCCATTAGTTCTTTCTAAATGAATTAGTAAAATGTTTATTCTTAGAAATTTTAAACAATATTTAGAATTAAGTATTTTTTAAAGACACATTATTAATTTACACAAAGAAAATAAAGAATAAATTGATAAAATTAAATATTAAACGAAAATTTAGTTTATTTTAAAATAGATTAAAAAATTATCACAATTACACACAAACAACACTATCAAAATTGTATTATTAATTGAAATAAAAATTTCTCTAAATATCACCAAAATCTAAACGATCTTAGCAGATTAAGCACAAGAATTCTTTTCTAGCACTTAACACTTACAAAAAGTATTCAAAATTATACGAGTCACTTGATATGCTGTGTACACCACGTTCATTATTTACCCAAAGTGAACACGAGGAGCGCTATCTTCTGCGTCACATAGACTCGTGCATGTATTCGCTTATGGCGGCGCAAGTTTCGTTCCAAATCACTCTACAAGTCACAATTTTTTGCCAAAACGATTTTTCTTTTTTTCTAAATCTTCGTAATTAAGTTTTTTATCGGTCTCTCGAGCCCGGTTTTAAAATTTTGTTTTTTAACATTTTTTTAATAACAATAAATTTTTAAAAAAACATAAAATCGTAAAATATATTTTTTTCAGCTTCAATCATTCAGAAAATTAATCAAAAAACCTATTAAAAGAATGTTTGAATGTTTCTGATGTATAACAAAAGTATACCAATTTATTAAATTGTTTAAACAATTAATTGTTATTTCTTTCCTAAACTGTACTTAAGGTTAGAAATTTCTAGTTTTTCTCAATTGTTCAATTTTTCAGGAGTAAAACATCTACATTTGAAAAAAACCAAATTATTTATTACATTGTTTGAACAATTAATTGTTGTTACTTTTTCATAAAATATACTTAGGGTTTGAAAATTCTAGTTTTTTCTCAATTGTTACAATTTTTCATGAGTAAAACATCTACTGATGATAAAAAAAAAATTATTGTTACTTATTGTTATTAAAAAATGTTTAAAAACAAAATTTTAAAACCGGGCTCAAGAGATCGATAAAAAACTTAATTACGAAGATTTAGAAAAAAAGAAAAATAGTTTTGGCAAAAAATTGTGACTTGTAGAGTGATTTGGAACGAAACTTGCGCCGCCATAAGCGAATACGTGCACGAGTCCCGGCATGCCGCGCTGGACATTTTATTTTTTTTCGCGTAAAGTTATTGTTGTCCCATAATTAAATTTATAGGAAGTATTCTTGACTTTATAGACAATAACTAAAAAAAAATTTTTTCAAATCGAAGAGGTATTTTTTTCAAAATTTTGATTCAAAAAATTTTTTTAAAATTTTTTCGGGCAAAAAAAAAATTTTTTTCCTTTTAATTTTTTTCTTTAAAGTGCTTCTTATTATGAGTATTTTCCAAAAAAAATTATATTAATCGGTTAACAAAGAAAAAAGTTATGTGCCTTTTTTGAAAAACCGACCAAAATTTTGAGTAAGCGGTAACTCAAAAAATTTTGAAAAAACTTTTATACATTTTTATTCCATGTATATGAGAGAACAAATTCGGTAAGTATTATTAATATTGCTAAAATCTTCGAAAATTCTTCAGATCACTTCCCGTGGAATTGCTCTAATTGAAAAGGTAAAATTTCTACTAATACAGATTTAGAGAGTGGTATACCTAGTATGGGCGACGGTTTGAATTCATTTTTATACAATTTTTTTTATTTTACGAAGCAAAAGAAGAGTTTGGTAAAAGTATGGGCAACGGCTAGGATCAATTTTTCCAAGATTTTTTACTTTTCTGTTAAATTTTATACATTTTCCTGACTATGGAAAGAGGCTAGGAAAGTATTTTTATTTTTTATTTTATTTGTTTATACACCCGTCTTAAGCCTACACTCTTGGCTATAAAAGTGTTTCTCTTACAAATTTTCTTATACTATAGAACCTTATACTAAATTTTGCGTCTACAGAACGACTTGAAATTAGGAGTACTCGCATTTGCCTGGACCACCCGTCTTATGGGTTTTCTCGCCAGTGGAGAGGGGAACTGTAGAAAACCTCTCCTGAGTACAACCGGTTTATCGACAGTCGAGTTCTAATGGTGTGTACCGGACAATAATCGACGGTGCACATCATTATACCTCGACGTCAAACCTCCCGCTCAGATTGTCTCACGTGCCAGAAAAATACCAATCCAAATGGGCGCGAACCAAGGGTACTTACCCTTGGTCCTTAAATGACCGCCAAGCGAGGCATCTATCCGACCGAGCTAATCTGTCGGTAGTCTGGGAAAATTAAAGTTTAATTTAAAGGATCTTTAAATTAAAGAAATTTCTTTGAAACAAAAAAATCTTATCCTGCGGATGTGATAATTTTTCTTTATATATAAAGAAAGAGGGAAGTACGTACTTCCCTTTTCGATTTCGCAGCAGAAAGTCGAAATTTCAATTATTAGAAATATGTTTAATTGTATATTTCAAAAATTTAATTAGAAAAATGATTGAAAAATTTGTCTATAGTTGTTTTTCACACAATTTGTGAAAATAAGTCAAAAAAGATCGAAGAAGTTATAATATCCGAAATCTGGAGTGCGTTCACGTAATTTTCACTAAAAGTCAAAAAATTCTCATAAGAGTTTCACTTTTAATTATACGTACGAAATTTTCACTTTCGCCCAAAAAATTCTTTAGCTGAAATTAAAAGTGAAAATTCTTTGAATGAAAGTGAAAATGAGAATTTTATGATTGTAACTAAAAAATTTTTTAGTGAAATTAAAAGTGGGAATTGTTTGTGTGAAATTTAATATTTTTTAATTTAATTTGTTAGTGAAAGTGAGATTATTTTTAGTGAAAGTCAACTTTTTTTTGTGAAATTAAATATTTTTTAAGTGTTAGTGACAGTGAGAATTTTTTGAGTGAAAGTGAAAATTTTTTGGGCGAAATTGAGAGTGGAAGAGAATTTTTTGGTGAAATTGAAAGTGTGAATTTTTTGTATGAAATTGAAAATTTTTCAAGTGTTAGTGAAAGTGAGAATTTTTTGAGTAAAAGTCAACATTTTTTGTGTGAAATTTAGAGTGAAAGTGAATTTTTTGGTGAAATTAAAAGTGGAAATTTTTTGTGTGAAGTGAAAAATTTTTCAAGTGTTACCGAAAGTGAACTTTTTTGTGTGAAATTGAATTTTTTGATGAAATTGAAAGTGAAAATTTTTGGTATGAAATTAAAAATTTTTCAAGTGTTAGTGAAAGTGAGAATTTTTTGAGTGAATATGATCATTTTTTAAGTAAAAGTAAAAACTGCATTTGTGAAATTGAATGTGAAAGTTGCGTAAATGCACCCTTATATAAAATGCTGCGTTTATATTTCTGTTAAATAATGTCCTACAGAAACCCATATCGGTAATTTCAATAGAATTATCAGGTTTTTTTGGTTCACATAAGTAAATGAATTTTAGTTATTATTCCTACAAGATATATGACAATTCTCCTAGATATGACAGCAATTATTTAATTTATCAAAAAAATTTCATTCCTAAACTGTGTCATTTAAATTTTGTCAGAAGATTGAGAAACTTAAGATGGATTTTGTTACTTTTCTAGATGAGTGTTTATTTAACTATCGAGTAATTATTCATTGTCTGCATTTGTCGATTTTCGTATATATCTAATTTACAGAGACGTTCTCTTAGAATAAAATAGCGGATGCATGGATCTCAGTGAATGAACAAAGATGTTGGAGGACCATAACTCGTGATAATTGACCACCGTCTAATGTTTCAGGGCCGAACAATATTCTCTTGGTACGCTAACGCGACTTCCGCAGCTCGAGATTACTCCGGTCGTATACACAGGTTGGACGATGTCTCCAGCTACGGTCAAGGCAGCATTAATTTGACAAATATTAGAAACAGTGATCAAGGATGGTACGAGTGTAAAGTCATTTTTCCCAACAGAACACCGAGTTCCAGAAATAATGGCACTTGGTCACATCTCTCCATTGATGGTATGGAATTAAAAAAAAATTTAATGACATTTTTTTCTTTCCTCGTGAGAATGTGCATAGTAATTGCGTAGGAGAATCAATTTCATTGGTTTCGGAATAAGGAAATCGGAATGTTAATAATGGAAAATAAAAATAAAAGTTTCAATGGCAGTACTCTGGCAGATTTAAAAGCTGATAGAGAAAATTTAAAACGGCGGACGAAAAAATGAAAGATTAATTTGATTAGCTTGTAAGTTGTTACTACGGGATTTTTAGGGTCGCTGATAACGAATATGAAGAAGATGGCGCTCAATTTCGCCAATTTTACTGAAAATACGTTTCTTAGACTATTAAACTATGATGATTGCAAATCAACAGTTAACAAAGCACGAGTTAAATAAATTTTATATTGACTAAAATGTTTTACAGTTTTTTAAAATGATATATTTGCTCTAGATCATATATTTTCTAAAGATAATTACTACATGTAGAAGGAGTTTACACCGTAAGCCTTAAATATAAGCCTCCGCGAGCATAAACGGATATGCCTCCATGAGGATATACTTGCGTCTGCGCAAAGTGTTTGCCTGCAGCTGTGTTGTGAAAGAGTTTGCCTTGACCACGTGTTCGCGCAGGCGCAAATATATGCTCCGGGAGGTATATCCGTTTATGCGCGCGGAGGCTTATATTTAAGGCTTACGGTGTAAACTCCTTCGTAATCTTTTATTTAAATCTAACTTCATATGCGTAATCAGCAACATCAAATATTATTTTGTTTTTCGTCCGCCATGTTGGATCCAGCATTTAAAATTTTTTAAATGTAACTGCAGATTTATAATTAAAAAGCCAAAAAACACTCAAGTAACAAATTTGAAGAACACCGAAAAAAAATTCTTGTTTTGAGAGGAAAATTCTTCTTCTAAAATCCTCTTACATTTTATTTTTGAATTAAGAATATTACTCTTCAAAGAAGACTATTTTCTCTACTTTTAAGAGGAATTACTCTCAAGTGGAAAAAAATCCCTTTAAAAATAAGTTAATAGAAGAGGAAAATATGCGTTGAAATAAGAGGAATCCTCTTCAAACATGAATATTCTTTTTTTCAGTGAAAATCCGTTTGATTTTATTGGATCCGCCATTTTTAATTTAAGAAATCTGACTTCAAATTCGTAATCACTAATCAACGACCCCAAAAACATTTAAGTTAGTAACGACTGTTTTTTTCTAAGTCATATATTTCGATTTTCAGTAACAAGTAACAATTGTTTAAAGTAGCAAAAAATTAAAATTGCAAATTTTCTTAAGGGGTTACACCACCCTGAACGCCTGAAAATTGGAAGGTATTTCAAAAATAAATTTTGACAAAACTATTAAAAATGCAATTTTTTACTAATTATAGTATAAAAATACATATATTTAACTGTAAAAAAAAATTTTGAAAAATGAAAAAATATTCAAAAATGGCGAAGATGTGGCGTTTTTTCGAAACTACATTTTTCGGAACGATGTACATGATTTCTCAAAAACTACTCAACCGATTCTCTTTAAATTTTGTACACAACTGCTCAATAACATTCTCTATCACATGACGTAGGATTTTTTTGATATGATTTTTTTAAAAAAAGTTATACATTTTTAAAGAAAATTTTTTGTACCAAAAATTTTAGACTTTTTTTTAAGTGCTCCCATTTGCTCAAAAAATTTTTTCTTTAAAAACGGCTACGTCATGTCATAGAGAATGTTATTGAGCAGTTGTGTACAAAATTTAAAGAGAATCGGTTGAGTAGTTTTTGAGAAATCATGTACACCGTTCCGAAAAATGTAGTTTCGAAAAAACGCCATATCTTCGCCATTTTTTAATATTTTTTCATTTTTCAAAATTTTTTTACAGTTAAATATATGTATTTTTATACTACAATTAGTAAAAAATTGTATTTTTAATAGTTTTGTCAAAATTTATTTTTGAAATACCTTCCAATTTTCAGGCGTTCAGGGTGGTGTAACCCCTTAAAAACCTGGCGTGTAATGAAAAAGCGGACTGTTAATTCGAGTTCAGCGTTAAAATTTACCTTATTAGAAACAGGTTTTGTTGCTCGGGTCCAAAGCCTTGTAAACCTGTACTACTTGGGTTAATTTTTTCATAGCAATGCAGATAAATATTAAGAACAAAAGAAGAATTCGAACATTCAAGAAAAAGGCTTCGGAGATGAAAAATAAACTTTTTTGAACATTTACTTCACTTGTCATATTATACAGGCGAATCTCCTATCGCAAGTGCTTTGAATTTTCTCAAAAATTTCTTTCTTTCTCTCTGGTGAAAATTTTCAAATTGTACAAAAATAAGAATTTTTCTTTATTCTCGAAGGTTTTACGCATTATAAAAATTTAAATTTGATGAATGACGGAAAAGTGAAAATGAATTTTTAAATTTTCACCTCAATTTAAGTTTCGTCGAGCACATACTTCTTTACAATTTGTAATGTATCTTCAGTCAACTAAATTTATATGAATATTATGAGTAATAATGACTAACGGATTGATCCCATGTTTTGGAATAACCCAGTGAGAAATTTCTTACCGGTCCAAAATCGGTCCAATATTGGGAGCCAAGAGACCAATCATCGGTCCAATAAAGGCTCCCAATATTGGACCAATATGGGCTGATGCTTGGGATGTAACGGGTTCGCCAAGCATCGGTTGTTAATATTGGTCCAATATTGGCCGAATATTGGCAAACAAGAGAAAAAAATTTTTTTAATTAAATAATAATAATAAAAAATTAATGTTTATAATTTTTGTTTAATATATTTATTTGTTTAATTATTTATTTTTAATAATTCATGTAAATAATAAATAATTTATTATTTATAAATTATAATTATTTAAAAATGCAGCAACTATTAGGAAATAGCATTCTGCAAAAAAATTCTTTCATTGAAAAATCAATGATAGGCGAGAGATATCTGCGTCATTAAATAGATTCGCAGATACCTATACTCTGGTCTTGCGACGAATCTCTCGATACTTATATACACTGGAGTCGCCGTGTCAGTTGCGAGAACGGTTACAGCGTCCCTCTTGCGGCAGAGATAAGAATTTTCACGTAAACTGCGGGTATAATAAGGCCGTCGGTAAAGCGATTTAGCAGTTTACGTGACAATTCTTATCTCTGCCGCAAGAGGGACGCTGTAACCGTTCTCGCAACTGACACGGCGACTCCAGCCCAGTAAAAAAAATTCGATACACGGACCGCGGTGTTCGTATACGAGCTCGGTAGCTCGTATGAGAAATATGAGAAATCTCTCATACGAGCCTTTTCCGTAATGAGAAGTGTATAGATGCTTATATACGAGGTGACTTTTAAAGCATTTTTCTTAATATAACACTATTTTAAAGTAAATGTAGATAATAGAAATGAATTTTCAAAGTAAAACAAAGCTAAATTTATAAGGGAAATGAAGTTTTAAGAAAAAAAGGATAATTTTAATCAAAAAATTTATTCACACTGAAAAAAAGTTAGAATTTGATAATTCCTTGTTACTCTAACTAACGGACATTAGATATTTCTCGTATACGGTAAGCAGATTTTGTATTAAATTTAATTATTTCACATAAGAACATTTATATAATAAATAAATAATAATATGTTATTAATTAGTAATGAAAAAAACTTATTTATTCTACCGCCAATACAAAATCGTGCTTACAGTGGTGCCAGACGGCGGACGCAAACGGCCCCCACTCTCGCGGCAAACTTACTCCTTCCATATGTTCCATATGACCACACACACTATCATACGCCTGGCTTTTGCTATCGTCGGTGAGCCTCTTTTTCGTTTTTCTCTGATTTCGCTGATTTCTACAGAAATCCGGCGCGAAATTTGAAAATCATGCTTCTCTCAGAAGTATTGTTTCTAAGTTTATTATTAAAAACTCAATATTTACCATGCAATAAATTCATAATTTATTATTAATTACATAATTGAGTATTAAATTGTTCACATATTACTGAATATTTTTTTAGTAATTATAATGTTTTTCATTCTTAACTAATCTTTGTTGATTATTTTTAAAATTTATAATTAATTAAAACAATAAAAATATAATCTATCTAAATTTGAATAAGTTAAAAATATCTATTTTGATAGTAAAAATTCAGTCATTGCTTCAAATAGTAATATTTTACTAATGAAATAGTTAATGGTATATAATTAATTATTAGTTAAATTCACTTTTCAGGTTATGTAAAAATAACTGCTATTCTTGGTAACAAATTCAATTAATGAAACTTGCCTACACTGTAAAAAATCCTTATTGAAATTTCAATCGTACACCGATTGACATAAAATTACAACGGACCCTCGGATGAATTTTACATTTTTGATTATAAAATTCCCATTTGACATGGAAATTCAACAGAAAACTATGTGCTCAACATAACCTTAAAATTTATTTTATTCATTTTTTTTCTTGCACATTTATAATATATCTATTGATTTTTTTACATAATTGTTGGAAAGTGTTTAAGTTATAAAAATGAATACTTTTTTATAATAAAGTTAATAATATCTATGTTTAAAATAGAATAATATCTTTTTTCGAAATAAAATTTTTAAGTGAAATAAAATTAAACAAATATGTTGAACTTTCAACACTCCCGGTAAATTTCCACAGACTACCGAGTGAAATTTCATTTATGGTTGTCCATTGAAAATTCCAAGAAGAATATGAAAATTCATACGTGGTTCCGTTGTAATTTTATGTCAATCGACACTCGTATGAAAATTCAATAAATGCTTGAAAGTTACATGGACTGACCATTTAAATTTCATTAATTCTGTTATTTTCATACGTCGTTCCTATTAAAGTTTTACACATATTACATGGAATATTCAATATGGATTTCTTACAGTGTATTTTTTTGTAGTTATTTATTCACTAATAATTAGTTATTTTTGCTAATTTCTGAACCAAAAAGTCATAGCTACGATTTTACTAATAATACAGGTTATATAATTTGA